GGTCAAGGAAGGAAAAAGGACATGATCCTGAATTATTTCATTTTCTCCTGTGGTACCCTTTGCCCAAGATGCTGAAAGCTAGGGGAAAGGGCTGTGGGGTCTTAACTTATTTTCACCTGAAAATGGAAGGAATGTATTGCACTCTCCTTGCTCTCTTCAGGCAAATTACGTGTATGTGTTGCCTTTTGGTATGCATGTGTGTGCACTGGAGCATTTATGCCCCCCCTCTATGTGTGTGTAATGTGTCCAGAGATAGGACGGACTGCTGACAGCCAGTCTATCTGAATCAGTGAACTTAGAGTTCAGTGAGAGACTGAAGAATAAAGTGGAGAATAATAGAAGACACCTGACGTTGATCTCTAGCCTCTACACAAACTCATACAAGTGTACATAAAGAGAACACATACACACAGTATCTCTTCCCACCCCCACTCCCCCCACCACGAAAGCAATGATTGGTATGGGAAGGCAGTAAAACAGCCCTCAGAACATTATATAAGCTCCAGAGTGGTGAGTGAGTGGTGGGGAAAGGTCCCTAGAGAGGTAAGAAGGGGGAAGAAGTCATCAGGGTGGTGCTTGAATCATCAAGCTTCTTGGACAGCCTTGTCCCAGCTCATAGTCTTGGGCTATGTTTGCCAGCCTAATGGGTTCATGGCTCTGAAATTGCTTTAGGGAGTCTGATGAAGGCACCTTTAAGTACCTCTAATAATGAGCCATTGATGTAGTTTTGTCTAAATGCATGGAGGATGTAAGCTCAAAAACTTGATGTCACAGTAAATGGAGCCCAGGTTCAGGGACTCCTAAGATGGTGTTAGCCTGCTTAAAGCACTCGAAGTGGTGCTGAAGTGGGTCCAGTTATCAGAGAAGATATTGCCTTACAAAGCAGTCTTATGCTGGCAGTGTTCAACCTGAATTCACACTCCAGTGTCATATGTCTAGGATGTTTTGATGTTAAAACAAAATTTAACCTTCAGCTCATCAAGTGAAAGCTTTCTTTTTCTTTTCTTTTCTTTTTTTTTGTGAAAGCTTTCTTAATGCTTGAAAAAACTATTTCTTTAAGATGGCTACTCATTAATTATAACCTGAAAATTCTGGTAGTCTTTGGTCTAGGTTTGCTTTTGCTTCCTGGATCAATTTCAGACTTGCTAATAATCTACTTAACTAAAAGGTTTTATTGGTAGGCCTGGAGACATGACTTGGTGGTTAAGAGCACTTGTTGCTCTTGGAGAGGACTGGGGTTTGATTCCAAGTACCCACCTAATGGCTCATAATCATCTTTAATTCCGGTTTCAATAAATCTGATACCTTCTGATCTCTGTGGACACCACACACACATACTTTCAGGTAAAAACTCTCATATGTATTTCATATATGAAATAAAATCAAAAATTTTCAGCCGTACATTGGTGGCTCATGCCTTTAATCCCAGCACTTGGGAGGCAGAGGCAGGTGGATCTCTGTGAATTTGAGACCAGCCTGGTCTACAAGAGCTAGTTCCAGGACAGACTCCAAAGCTACAGAGAAACCCTGTCTAGACAAACAAACAAACAAAAAAGAAATAAAATCAAAAATTTTAAAGAAGTTTGGAGTTTTGAGATGTGATCTTATTTGTAGCCTTAGCTGGCCTAGAACTCACTATATAAATATGTAAGTGGTCCTCCTGCCTCGGCCTCCTGAGTACTGGAGTTACAGGTATATGCCACCATGCCCAACAAATTTTGTTTCTCTTTAAAAACTTCATTAATGGAACCACCGTGACATCCAGCAGTCTCACTACTGTCTATATAGTTGCAAAGGTAAAGAAACCTTTTGCTTTTTAAAATTTTACTGCATAGCCTGAGTTGTTCTTCTTATTCACTATAACTTTCTTGTTTCAGCCTTCCAAGTGCTGGGATTGTTGGTATAAGCCATCACACTCAAAATAGTGTTTTGAAGAAGCTCCTTGCTCCAGTGTTATGTAGCCAGAATTTAGAGTCTGCTTAAGTGTCAGCAAACACATAAAGGAATTATGGAGCACAGACACTGGGTTCTGTTCAACTATACTCCCCCGCCCCAATCTGATTTACTTCAGGGATAGGCAGAGAAAGGCAAGCTCCACATGATCCCAGTCTTGTTTGTTTGTTGCTTTTTGTTTTTTAAGACAGGGTTTCTCTGTGTATCCCTGACCATCTTGAAATTTGTTTGTTGTAGACCAAGTTGGTCTCAAACTCAGAAATCCACCTGCCTCTGCCTCCTGAGTGCTGGGATTAAAGTCCAGTGCCTCTGCCGCCGCCACCACCAGGCCATGATCCCAGTCTTATGTGAAACCCAATGCAGTTAATCAAATGGACACTGAAAACAGAAGCTGGGGAGGGTAAGGAGAGGGGAGGTTGAAAGTGTCTGCCAAGCCAAGTTAGATAGTAGGAATAAGTTTTGGAGTTCTGTTGTACAAGAGGATAGCTATAGAGAGTAGTAATATACTACGAATTTCAAAAAAGTCAGAAAATTATCTTTTTTTTGTATTTTTATTTTTCAGACTAGCTTCAAACTCTATTGTCAGTGGTTCTCTCAACCTGTGGGTTGTAACCTCTTTGAGGTGAGCAATGCTTTCACTTAGGTCACATAAGACTATCCTGAATATCAGATAGTTACATCACTATTCATAACCATAGCAAACTTACAGTTATGAAGTGGTAACAAAAATAATTTTATGGTTGGGGGAGTCTAATGAAGGAGCTTAGTAACCTGTGAGATTAAGATATCCTTTATTAGATAAATGCCAGCTGAATGCAAGCCAGATTGTGCCAGGGGCAGCAAGGCAGGGAGGCCAGAAAGAAGGGGCTCCCATGTGCCTTGTCTGTCCCTTTAAACCCTATCTCGAGTCATCCTGACCTCACCTTGACCATGCCCATTAGGGAGTGGTTAGACACACCTGTAGCCAGCTTCTAGCAGGCGTGACTTACACTGTCCCCTACAATTCCCCTTTTAGTCTAAAAGAGGATTAAAGCTTAACAGTGTAAAGTATTCAAAATTAACAATCATAAAGGTGAAATGCAAGAAGATACAATAATCTGCTATGACACATCCTAACTATGTCTACATCAGCTAAACCCTAAAGTCATCTGAAAAGAGGTATCCAAGCCTGAACACCTCCTTCCAATCCCAACCATAAACAATAGTAAGCTATCCCTAACTAGGCTTACACTACCCTAATAGACAATAATGGGGGAAGGGAGGGTAGTATCCTCCAATTTACTTCCTGCTGGAATGGGACAGCGGTTGCTTCATGGGGTCCTGTGGGAAGAAAATGTTAGTATAGTGAAAGTCTCTAATGGATTATATCCAGTCCATGTTAGATGGGATTTGCTTGATTGAAGATCTAGGTTGAAATTCTCAACTTGATTGAAGTCAGTACCCGAAGCTCTGGTCGAAGTGTCAGTTGAAATGGAGTAAGTTGGATTCAGTGCAGTCTAGGAGGTATGGCCCAATTTCCTTCCGGGATGTCCAGGGATTGCTGTCAGGCAGGTCTTCATTGGCTGTGTGGGACTCAAACGTAAATGTTAGAGAAATGTTTGCTTGTACATATATGCATGCTGGGAAAGACAGCCATGGAAAAATAATGATTATGAGATGGTGTACACCTTGAAGGAAAGAGCCAAGAAAAACAAAGACAATCCCCAAATTCTTGTCTCACATTAAAGGGTCTCAACATTAGGAATGTTGAGAACCACTGCTCCATGTAGTTAGACACTGACCTTAAACCCTGGACTTCTGATATCCTGACAAGTGCTGTAATTACAAACTTGTAGCACTTTACCACACTCTGAAGACAGGATTTCCCCTAGTTCTTTTTTTGTTTGTTTGTTTGTTGTTTATTTTTATTCGGGACAGGGTTTCTTTGTGTAGCCCTCGCTGTCCTGGAATGAGCTCTGTAGTCCAGGATGGCCTGGAATTCACAGAGATCTGCCTGCCTCTGCCTCCTGAGTGCTAGGGTTAAAGGCATGTACACCTACCACCTGGCCTATTCCATTTTTCACTTCTTTCTTCCCTTTTTTCCACCCTCTGTCTTCTTTCTCTTCGATGTTTTTTAAAGATCTTGGGCTCAAAAGCACCTTTTGCATGTTAAAGCAGGAACTACATCTCCAATCCTAGAAGGATTTGAGATACAGTAAACAAAATATATACTTGATACACCACCTACTGGAACATCACAGTGTATGTCACCTACTGAAATATCACACAGTGTGATACAGTAAATGTATACAGTGTTTTTAAGGGCATATAGTCAGTAGTAAAGTACTTGCAAATGGGAACTCTAGGTTGGGTCCACAGCACAGGAAAAACATTAAAAACAATAATTCTAGCTGGTTGTGTTGATGCATACCTATAAGCCCAGCATGCAGGAGACTGAGGCAGGATAGTTGCTGCAAATTTGAGACCTCAGGCTTGTCTTCATGGTAAGGTTCAATCTGAAACAGTTTCATTCACTTCATTTTTGTTTTCATCATACTGATCTGATGTGGCATGCACTCCTGGACTTGCTCTGTGAGTGCTAGTGATAGTAATTGGGCTCTCATGTTTGTGTGATAAGTGCTTTACTAGCTGAGTTGTTTTTTTCAGCCCTACATTTTGTCAGTTAAAAGGATGATTTATTGGTCAGGCAGTGGTCATATCCGCCTTTAATCCCAGACCTTGGGAGGCAGAGGCAGGCAGATCACTGTGAGTTTGATGTCAGTCTGGTCTACAAACTGAATTCCAGGACAGCCAGGACTGTTAAACAGAGAAACCCTGTCTCAAAAAGTCCATATGTGTGTGTGTGTGTGTGTGTTGCCTGTGTGTACACAAAGACTAGAAAGCCTCTGAGAATTGTAGTTACAGGTAGTTGTAAACCATTATGTGAATGACTGGGAACAGAACCCAGGCAGAGTGGCTAATGCTATTAACAATTGAGCCATCTCTCCAGCCGCCCCCCCCCCCATTTTGTTATTTTAATGGTAATAAGTAACAGCCTTTTTTCTCCATGTCAGATGGAAAATGTAGTAATGTTGGCAATGAGGGTTGAAGGAGGTGTGTGTTACATAATGGTGTAAACCCCTAATAATCACACTTCAGAACTGAAAAGGGATGACAACTAGTAGCTGTTTTGACTGGTGATTACTGTGCTCTAGGATGTAGACTTCAGACTCTGCGCTAAGTTCATAACCTATAGTATCTCAGCATCTTGTTTGACTCTTTGGCAATCCTGAGTAGATTTTTAAAAATATATTCATAAGTGAATGAAGAAGTAGACCAGGAAGGGCTAAGCACTTGCTGGGGGGTGAAGAGTGGATAGTGAGCTTCAATCACTCACTACTTTTATTCTAAGGGTTCTCTGATGAACCATAATTTTCAGTATTGATTTTTAAAAGTGTTTTCAGAGCTTATAAAAATGTCTGTTCCTCAAAAGAATGCATCCTACAAGGGAAAAAAGGCTTTTCAAGGTTGCACATGGTCCCGGGCGTTGGTGGCACATGCCTTTAATCCCAGCACTCGGGAGGCAGAGGCAGGCAGATCTCTGTGAGTTCGAGGCCAGCCTGGTCTCCAGAGCGAGTGCCAGGATAGGCTCCAAAGCTACACAGAGAACCTGTCTCGGAAAAAAAAAAAAGGTTGCACATGGCTTGTTGGGAGATGGAGTTAGAATTGAAATTTTAGGTTTTCTGGCTTCTAAGTTTCAGGCTCTAATATGGAGCTGTTGTGTAGTTTCCTCTTTCACTACTTCTAACATTCAGACTGTTGGTTTCCCCTTGGTGGTGACTTATACTGACATATAAGAAGCATTCTGCTAGTCTGTGGTTATTTATTCCAATACAGTCTTGATTTTATAGGCATTTAGAACCATGTAGGTACAAATACAGAACTCATGCTGACTAAATTTTGTTGGGCGAGGGACATATGGTTCTGGAGTAATGTTTTGTTACTTTTGTCTTCATTCTGTTTTATAACAAATTCAGATGATTCAGATGGTTGGAACATTTATCAGCACCAGTGTTACTAATCTGGGAAGACACATCAACATTATGGAAAGGAGCTTAGTTTAGAAAAGACATTTTCAAAAAAAAAAAAAAAAATCCACCTTTTAGGATTCTACCTGTTTCATGTTCTTTTCCCTCTTCACTATTGCCATAGTTGGTAATTTTTTCTTGTTTTACTTTGTGGGTACACTTCAGAGTTTTATTCCTAGACATGTAGTTCTTAATGATGCAGTCTGTAACTTCAACTATTCTGGTCTACACATTACAACTTTGCTTTTTAGCTGTTGGTTCAGAGGCATGAATCCTCATGGTCAGGTCCATTGTCAGCTGCTTAGTGTAACTATTCACTTATTGGATATAAAGACTTCTAAACTGTCAGAACCTCAAATTGTGGGGCCAGGAAGGAGATTTTCTTCTGGAATGTTCATTAAGCTTACAGTGAGAGTTGATACTTTCATCTAAAGATGAAATTTTAAACCCTTCTTTCCCAAATTTGTCTATCTGACCATAGGAGAACAAATATCATGTATTGGTCATTTATGTAGAATACTCAATTTATCTAGTGGGGCTGTTCTTCTAAATCAGAGGTTTGCCATCCAGTGCCTGTGGGTCTTCAGCAGGCCATCCCACAATTTCATTGATTGATTGATTGATTTCAACAGAGCTTTTTTTGGTGTATCCTTGGCTGTCCTAGAACTTGCTCTGTAGCTCAGGCTGGCTTTGAACTCTGCTTCTGCCTCCCAAGTGCTAGGATTAAAGATGTGCACCACCACCGCCTGCTTTTTTTTTCCCCCAATGATTTTATTTTTATTACTTTAATTATGTGTAGGCATGTATCTGCATGTGGGTATGTATACAGGAGTCAAGTGTCCACAGAGGTCAACTGCATCAATCCCCCAGAGCTGGAGTTACAAACATTTAAGCCACCATTATAATGTTGGTGCTGGTAACTGAACTCATGTCCTCTGGAAGAGCAGCAAGTGTGCTTATCTGCTGCGCCATCTCTGAGCCCCTACGATTTTCTTTTTCTTTTTGGTTTTTCGAGACAGGGTTTCTCTGTGTAGCTTTGGAGCCTATTCTAGCACTTGCTCTGTAGACCAAGCTGGCCTTGAACTCACAGAGATCCGCCTGCCTCTGCCTCCCCAGTCCTGGGACTAAAGGGGTGCACCACCAATGCCCAGCTTACAATTTTCTTTTCTGATGCTTTCCTTTCCTTTTTTTTTTTTTTTTTTTTTTTTTTTTTTTTTTTTTGAGATAGGTCTCTCACACTTAAGGCTTAAGCAATCCACTTTAGTTTCCTGAGTCCTTGCTCTCCAGGGTTTATTCCCGAGTTCATCTACATATGCACACTACCATGCCAGGTCATTCGACCATTTTCTAGATCCAGTTGGCTTCTGGGATGGACATATGATAAAGTAAGGGTCTCTCCTCATTAAAAGCATTCACTTCACTTTGACGGTAAAACAGACCCTTTGGTGTGTGTTATTGAAGCCATGTAAGAAGTCATAGATTATGATATTTAGGAACAAATAGTGCACAATGTAGACCATTAAAGCAGTCCAGAGAGTAAGGAAGGTCCATGGTCATCTTAAGCAAGGGAGCTGTTATACACTGAAAAATTGCCCCCCCCCTTTCTCTCTCTCTCTCTCTCTCTCTCTCTCTCTCTCTCTCTCTCTCTCTCTCTCTCTCTCTCTCTCTGTGTGTGTGTGTGTGTGTGTGTGTGTGTGTGGTGTTGGTCAAAGTCTTGGCTATTATTGCCTATGTTCCTGTGTTGAATTTGCTATCTTTCTGCCTCCCAAGTTGCTGGGATTGTAGGTAAATAGCTGTGATTGTAAGCATGTGCCACCTTACCCAACTATTATTACATTAAGGAATTATTAAACTGTAGTAGAGTAGCTGTAAACAGAAAAGAGAGTGCTCAGTGCTAAGGAATTGTACCCAACAGTAAGATGTGGTGTTACCTACTTTTAATCTTGGGAGTTTGAGGCCAGTGTGTGCTAAAGACTTTTTTTTTTTTTTTTAATGTAGACAGGGTGTTTTCATGTATGTAGCCTGCCTCTGCTTCCTGAGTGCTGGGATTAAAGGCATGTACCACCATCCCTGGCTAAAGCCTTTTTTTTTTTTTCTGTTTTTCTTTTCCTTTTATTATTATTTTTTACTTTTTAAGATTGTATTTATTTATTATGTATACAACATTCTGCTTCCATGTATATCTGCACACCAGAAATAGGGCACCAGATCTCATATCGGATGGGTGTGAGCCACCATGTGGTTGCTGGGAATTGAACTCACGACCTCTGGAAGAGCAGCCGGTGCTCTTAACCTCTGAGCCATCTCTCCAGCCCCTTCTTTTTCTATTTTTTTTTAAAGAAAAAAAATGGTTTTAATAAAATGCCAGTGTATATCAATTTAGGGAAAAAAACTATATTGAGAATACTCTAGATGACATGAGCAATTCATATATACACTAGCAAAATAAGACATTCCATACTGTTTCTCAAACATTTAAGTCCATCAGTATTGTTTCTGAACCCATTTTTATCTTGGGTCCTAATGTTTGGACTTATAATCAGTTCCTAGCTTATTGCATGGTTCAGAATGACGTTTAAGAACGATCCCATTGGGGCTGGAGAGATGGCTCAGTAGATAAGAGTACTGACTGTTCTTCCAGAGGATCTGGGTTCAGTTCTCATCACCTACATGGCAGCTCACAACTGCCTATATCTCCAGTTTCAGAGAACTCAACATCTTCACACAGATACATGCAGGCAAAACATGAGTGCACACTAAATAAAAATAATTAGTAATATTAAAAAATTGCTTGGTGACTGAAGACTATCTTTAAAACAAATGCCAAGGGATTTATTTGAAAGGACCCATTCTCCTCAAGGCTGGAGATCAAGCCTATGGAGAAGATAGAATTATAGCCAGTAGAGCAGGTAAATGGGAGCAATCTGGGGTGGGGTACAAGAAAGCAGAGTGGTGGGTGGATATACAGTAGAAGAGTGGTTTCCCAGAACTGTCCAGGGCACAGCTGATGGTTCAGCAGATCCTTTGGACAAGGGCTTCCTTTTATGTATGGTTTGGGCCCAGGCAACTCCAAGCCGTTTTATAGAATGAAGGTTAGCTAGTCTGTCACTGCTGAGGGATCTTAGTGGAGACATGGGTGGGGCTTAGGGAGAAGGCAGGCTATAGATTGGGATATAGATTCATGTTTGAAAACTCTAGCTACACTGCTACTTCCTAAGTCCAGAGCTAGAGAAAGCACACATTGTCAAATACTACAGAAGCTGTGTCCTTTACACACCTGGCTATAGAGAAAATGCAGTCTATGCTAATCTGTGTAGACAATGCAAGGTGTTTTCCAGGAGCCTGCCAACACTTTTGTCTTGCAGATCCTGAAAGGAAAGCCTTTCCTTCCTACTGTCTCTCTAGTGCCCTCTACTGACAAGTCTTAATTTCTTACTGGTAACAGAATTGCAGAGTAGCTTTGTTTTTACCATGGTACAAAGGTCAAAACCATGCTTTTATTTATTTTGGTGTTTTTTGGTTGTTTTTGGTTTTTTGATGCAGGGTTTCTCTGTGTAGCCTTGGGTGTTCTGGAACTCAATGTTTTAGATCAGGCTGTCCTGGAATGCAGAGCTCAGCTTTGCCACTTCTGAGTGCTGGAATTAGAGGTGTGCACCACTATGCCCGATATTTGCTTGCTTTTTAAGGATAGTTTATAGAGTCAGGACAGTGGTGGCGCTTGCCTTTAATCCCAGCACTTGGGAGGCAGAGGCAGGTGGATCTCAGTGAGTTCAAGGCCAGCTTGTTCTACAAATTGAGTTCTAGGACAGCCAGGACTGTTTACATAGAGAAACCCTGTCTGGAAAAAAAAAACCCAAAAGTATAGTTTATAGAATACCCTGTAAAAGGGCAGTAGGCTGGGCAATAACTAGAGGAGGATGTGGAAGTTTTGGGATGTAAGTCCAGAAGCATCATATTTATGACACCTGGCTATTTTCACTGAGTAAGCAGAAAGAGTGGCTGAAGCCAAGAGGCATATGACTGCAGCCAGCATGAGAAAATGTTAGCAGGAAGATGTGACAATTAACAGTTCATTGCCTCTTGGC